GAGACGCGCTGTTGGACATCCCAGCACACAGACAGCAGGTTCGCTGACAGACGCAGCATATGGATACCTAACATGCTGCAGTCTGGTTCGACAGATTCCTCTGGGGATAATGAATGCCAAGCCCTAAGACCCCCACGAGCTCCAACCAATCTTGGTAACAGATTTCTCCAATAGAAAACTCGAAGCTATCATGCTGCTTCATCAGCACTCAGCAATCACTGTAATCAACAGTAAAGATAGGTGGGCTTCAAAGTGAGTCGTTTAATGTAATTATCCATCAAATCAAACAGTCCACTTGTCTCTTTCCAGATTATAATGCAAAATCTAAACGCTGGTCAGCCTGAAACTGAGACTGTAGATTGCTCGTTATTAAAATAGGCAGCCAGGGATGATATTTGATATTTGAGATTCTGAGCAGTAACGTGTCGGATAACAAGCGCAGACACTGAGATAATATGCTATTCGTAAGATCTGTTCCCTGAAAACAACCCAGGAGTAAGACTGCAAGTGATTAGTCACAAAGCAGAGCAGTCTTCACCTCAAGTACTGTACGTGGGAACACTATGTAAAGTAAAACAATGCACGGCAGACCCTACATTGCTTTTGTCAGTCAAGCCGCAGCTTGCAAAGGTATGTACATTTCAACATTTCAGTCAAACAGTTATCTTGAATTACAGAAGCAAAGCTGCAGGGATGACCGGCTCCATGCTGCTCTGATTCATCAAAGTGCAACAACATTTAACAATGGCACAATTCAATTGTAACGCATTTCATGTTTGTTACCCTGTGTGTTAGGAAGAATCCAAGATCAAATGTCACTGAGTACGACACTGGAGCTCTACCACCTCCAGCATAACCTGACCTCTGACCTCTACTGGGAGGGGTGCAGGAGGAAAACAATTTCCCTGTGGGATAAACTATATCATCATAACAGTGTTTCTGCCCCCCAACCCCCCAAAAAAATTAACTCTATGTTAGTTCTGCACAACTACATGCAATGAAACATATTCCGATACAAGCAAAACAAATGCTAAAGAATGTAACAGTGGAATAGACATGATACAAAACCAATATCAGTGGACAGATGGCGATCAGTGTTGTCTCAATGTGAGGGGCTGGACCTCCAGTCCTGTGCTCTAGTGCAGCGCGGAGGTGGCTAAAATTACTGGGTCCATTATCGGACAGGATCATTTTCCTAAACACAAAACAAAACCAATAGGCCAGCACTAGTTTAATATGCACATGGTGAGTATTTCAACGACACACTAACTGTCTATTTACAGTAAGGTCCACGACATTTTACACGAATCCCAAAACAGCGCATCCGCCTGCAACACAATGCTGCATGGCTCCTTCTTTCCCCCCTGACTCCAACCTTTATCTGTGGGCTTCCCTACAACACTGGACCACACCGTGTCAACAGATACGTGTGGAAAACGGACAATAGAGTCAAAGGTAAGGTTAGGACCACAAAGCGTTAGCCGCCGACTGTGGAAAAGGGGGAGAGGAGAGGAAGGTGGGTGACGAGGAGGTTTTTGGGCACAGCCGCAAAATCGCCCAAAGCAACAAGATAATTATTATATGTAACATAAACCAAACAACACACACACCGTTTGACCGTTGTCCAGTTTTGTTTGTGTGTGCGTGTATGCTGCTCTACTGTCAAACCCAATGAATGTATTGTGGGGGAGGAGGAGTGGGGGGGAGGTAGACTGGAGGGGCAAAATCTGTTAAGACCTAGCATAAACGGCGTCCGATAATGGAACTCGTGACGTTACACTGTACGTTACCTAGCAGCTAGCTCGACGCTAACGCTCCAACTCAGATTTAACGTTCGCTCCGAGCGGTGGAAACATTCAGCCGCAACACAACACTTCAGAGCCGCTGCTGAACGCAGAGAAAACAAACCCGGGACAAACACGGAATACACAGCCCCACAGTGACATTTGGCCGAGCGCTATCCCGAGTCCTCCCGAGCTAAAAAACGTTGCAGCGGCAGCAGCAGCAGCAGCAGCAGCAGCAGCACAACGACACAGACAGTGTCTGCGCGGTGGGCAACTCACCCAGAGAGACCACTGTAGTGTCGACCAGATGTTGCTGCGAATTAACGATGAAGGCCCATTAGGAAGACTCCTGCGGTTGGGGGGCATCCAGGTCTGGCGGCGTTAAGATTAGACAATCCCAAACGTGGCTTTGCTTTGACGCTTGTCCGCGCTGTCTGCATATGTGTGTGTTTGTGTGTGTTTGTGTGTGTGTGCGCGCTGGCGGAGCTCCGCGAGGCCTGCTGCTGGAGGAAATGGTCTCCGCTCCGTCAAAGGAACACGCATGCGCAGAGGAGGAGCACAGCCACGGGGCGAGCGGTCTGTGAGCGCGACCGTGTGGCCAACAGGTGCGGCTGTCAACTCATGGCGGACTTGTTGTTACTGTGGGAGGTTTCCCCCTGAGCCGCCCGCCTGCCCGCTACGTTTCAAACCACCGAGTAAAGCCCCCGTGTGCAGTCGTACGGGATGAATATACTGTAATGTACCGGGGCATCTTGTACTATCCGCACATAGCAAGCGTAACGTGTTCAAACCGGACTCCCACACCGCGGGTTTTGATTGACGGCTCCCCAGTGTTGTTGAATTATTCCATGCAGTGATTAAAAACAGCTGTGTGGTAGTAGTAGAATAAGCTACTGTAACAAAACACACCGTTTCTTTCCTGTTAAACATTAAATATATAGTAAGAAGTGCCCCAGGGGTCTCATATTCATTGTAGTAGTTTGATTAACTGCTCATTTGTTTGGGAATATACACTGCATTATTACCTGTCCAGTCTACCTGTTAAGGGACACACTGGACATTCCTAAACAAATGTGTTTAATTACCATCAACCACAATAACTATAAACAGGGGTCCAATAGCAGCCCCTCTGTGGGTTAACCTCATCGGTTTGGTTTTCACTTGTAATAGCTATATAACAGATTATAAAGTCTTTATTCTCAATAAATTATCACACTAAGATCACTATAAATTACAATCACTAAAAAGGTACTCTTTTTCTTCTTTCTTTCTTGTTGTTTCAAAGCTTTGTGATGAAAGTGAAAATATTGTATTTTTTCACAGAAGACAGTTTGTTGTGTCACAGTAGGAAAAACACAGGTGTAAATATAAAAATTTAAATTTGGCTGAATTCCATTTAGCTGCTTCAGTTTCAGGCTCCTGATATTGTGCATGCTGGCTCACTGGGACATACTGGGACATGTGACTAGAACGGAGCCATTGTTAATGTTATTAACACCTTTACCTGTAGTCCCACTACAAGTAGTCTTGTAATAGTATTAGGGAAAACAGTATCACAAGTAAAGTAACTCACTATGCACACTGTTATATTGCTGGTTGCTATTCCTGCTGCATTAATCTGCATGTAGCATTTGAATGTTGCAGCTGGTTGAGGATTACATATTTTGTATTTTAAAATCCAAAGTAGTAACTTTAACGATATGTCAAATAAATACAGTAAAGTACAATGTTTCCCTCTTAAATGTAATGAAGTTGAAGCATATAGGAGCATTAAATGGAAATACACCCAAGTATAGTGTCTCAAAAGCTCACTTGGTGGTAATTGTGGTGTTGCATTTTCTCAGTGACCATGAACCAGATCTTACACACTCTACACACACGGTTTGCAAGATTTTTATTATTTTTTTTTTAATTTCATTTGCATATAAGGGAGCACCCACCGTCATCCTAGAGTCTGCATTTTGCCAGTAGATCTAGGCTGAAGGTTTTTTGAAGCTTCAAATACTTTGCCTGAAGCTTCACATGTATACCTAAAGACACATTTAAATACATGTTTATAGATCACGTTTTCCAGAGGCTATATCAAGCTTACAAAAAGGTACTTTGCACTCACAATCGGCAAATTAGCTAAACCAGACAGGTTGGCAATAAATTAGTCAAAACCTCGGGTACAAAATATTTTCCAGAGTTGACCACACTCATGAAAACTGTCAAATACAAACACATCAGCAATAAATTCACCTTATTTGGTACTGCAGTGATTGCCATCCTCCTTTTTTTTTTTTTTAGGCGTGATTTCTTAACCACAGCCATCATCAAATTGTAAGTGTTTGGTTTAGTCTTTGCTGCAGTAGAGAATCAAAAGAACAGCCATGACTATTGGTTTACCACAAAAAAAAGAAATCACCCCACCATCACACATTAGCAAAAGAAATGTGTTGAGAGACTTCTGTTTGATGGAGTGCATTAAAGGATTCAATAAATCCAAACTGTAGAAATTAGTATAGTGAGAACCCTCTGCCATATATAACTTATGACTACAGTTTTTTTATTCTCATGTTTTTACGTACTGTATTGTACACAGTCAGAAAAGAAGTTCATGACAAGTTCAAGGACTTAAAGAGGTCTTAAAAACACGACCTGTGTAAAAGTGCATAGCTGCCAGTCTGAAAATAAGGCTGTTTTCTTTGTTCTTCTAAATTTGACATTTTGCTGATCTGAGGTTTTAACAGATGATCCGTATGCTGACAAAAAGAGAAAGTTTGTTGGAGTGGTTATTTCACTGAAGGTGGCTGAATCTATGTGTCAAATGGAAACTGTTTAATAATAGTACTAACTAGATATAGTCCCTCGTGATAAACCTGGCCCAAGATGTTTTTGGTCCTTGGAATGTGTGCTTCAAATCCCTGTCTAATCTGCAAAACTTAGAAATACAAAAAAAATGAATCCTCCAGGGAGTCTGCTACCACTTTTCATTTTCAGTGTCGGTGGTTATAAACTCAAGACAACTAACAGTGCAGAAAGAGTGCTATCAAATGTAATGTAAATGCAAATATGAAGTTTTTTCATTTTTCATTCGTTATTCCTGAGATGTATTCCAAAAATAAATACAAATATTCTGTATATCACCTTTTCAGTGAAACATGCTGCAACCATTACCAAACAAAAACATACTAATGTAAGTAAGTAAAAAAAGAAAATTGAAAGACAATGGACATGGACGGTTGGCAGATATGAATGAATGGCAGATTTAGGCTGGCAGACAGCTTTAGGCTGAGCTCTGCTCCGGGGTCACGGGGTCGGGATCAGACTCCACATGCAATCTAAAGGAGGAAACAGGAACTGTGTCTCTCCTGCTCTGACTGGTCGCGGGGGTCAGAGGTTATAGATAGACTCATAGTGGTCAGCATTTTGTAAACATATTCACGTCGTCATGGAGCCCTTATCAAAACACACCAAAGAACAGGAAACCTTTCCCTCTCAACAACAAGAGGTGTCGCACGCAACACACGGCAATCCCAGCTTCCCAGTTTCCAGCGGGTTAGAGGAAAAACCTACACCATACACTTTCAGACGTGTCATGAAGTGGTATGTAAAGATGGATGAATATTGGTTCGGTCATGTACATGTAGCTACTCTTCAGCTATTGCCACACGCACAGACAATGATACATTTTCCCCAATGGAAAAGCAGACCATTCCCTCCTACTGTCCATTTCTAACTATTTGCAATGTAAGTGGGTTCTCTGTTATGCCGAGTGTAGAGGAATAACAAATTTACATCCAAAGGGTGAGTGGTAGCGGATTCCAACTTCCTGGAAGACCAGCTTGGGGATGCCAATGTCACAGAGGTAGACCCTGCTCTCCGCCTCAGCTAACGGTAGTGGAAGGCCCAAAGACAGGGTCCACTTTGCCTCAACAGTCTGATGCTGCTCGCCGACCGCAGGATCGATAGTTAGGACTGGAGCCCGGTTCTTGTTGGCCCAGTCGGCAGCTGATTGGTACCAGGACTGCTCCCTCAGCAGTTGGTTCTCGTGGCAGTCCAGGCAGTTGATGACCAGATCGACGGGGCTAGCTGGCAGGTCTGGGACAGAGAAAGAAAGGAGAAGAAAAGAGACGATGAACACAGGGATTTAAAGTTGACTCACAAAACTACAAGAGAACACATTTTTGGTGCACATGATATTGCTAAAAACTGAAACCAGGAGACACTCTCAAATCAATCTTTTCTATATACCTACAGATATTGTGTGGAGTCACACATAGGTGGGAAAAATGGTACAACATGAGTAAGGACTGTCTTACTGTTGTTCCACTAGAGGGCAACATTTATCTGTGCTGGTCTGTTCCAACAGGACAAGATGAAGTGATCCTAACACAGAGATTCTGAATCATTATTACATTAATCACAATCACTTCGGACACAGACCAGCCCATACACCGAGCATCAGGGTCAGTGAATCCTGAGTAGACAGGGATATTAAGGTCCAATGTGTAACATTTATGGAATACAATATTTATAACCATGTTTTCATTAGTGTATTATCACCTGAAAATAAGAATAGTTATATCCTTGTTACATTAGAATGAGGCATATTTATCCACAGACACCACGGGTCGCCTTCCATGGAGTCCGCCATGTTTTTATAGTAGCCCAGAACAAACCAAAAACTGGCTCTAGATAGGGGCGTTGGCGTTTCTCGTGCTTTTCGTGCCCACCGTAGTTACTTTGCACTTAAAAAGGGAGGGTGAAAGTTACAATCTGCACCGCTAGATGCCCCTAAATCCTACACATTGCTCTTTCAATCATGTAAAAACCATGTTGGTGTGTTCTACCTTTGACGCTGGCCACCTGCTTGCCACTGGTCCTGCTGTAGAGGTTGACCTCACTGGTGACTAACTCCTGCATCTTGAGAAAGTTGGGCAGGAACAGGATGACCTCCACTTCGTGGTTGGCCATGTGTCTGCCACAGCTGATGCCCTGGGCTCCCTGGATGTGTGGCCCACACAGAAGGACCACAGTGGGCCTCTGGTGGACATTTTTCGGGGTGAGTCTGGAGACATTCAAGAGATGACAAGATTACTCCACAAACAAATGTAACTCAATGTAGTGAGTATGTCGTTAAACAGATAGCATCATATCCACCATATCATAGGAAGACGACATAAGACATGATTGATTATGGGAGCCGTCTATCCTGCCAGCATACACAGCAGGTGCCATTCTGAACCTGCACGCAATGTCAGCTCATACTGTTAATAATAAGAACTACCTACAGGTCAGTTAAAAACACTACATATTTGCTTCAAGAAAACATTAACAAACATTACCAACCAACAAACACTAACAATGATAACAAAGCTATTGTTAGCAATAAAGTATCTGTATTGTTCAGCAGTTCTCGGCTGTGTCGTATGTTTACTCATTTGGCATTTTTAACCTTTTTGTAATTACTACTTATTTCCCCCCAAAACCTCCATAGCCCATGTCACTTACTTTTGTACAGTTTACATTATTCATC